CAAATTACAAAATTGCTATTTTTGAAATTTGGCCACGTGGCGCAGAAATAGGAGGTCTTTAGACCAAGCCAACCATATATAATTTTATTTTTATTTTTAGTGTAACTAGCTATATATATCTTGGAATTTTCAAGATGAAAATATTTCTTTTGCCAGAACAAATAATCATTGTTTGTTGTTTTCAAACCTTTCAAATTCAATTTTACCATCATTCTCAAAATCCTTAATAATAAAAATTTTTTTCACATTCACATTCTACATTGATCAAAAATGGGTTATCATCTTCATCTTCTTCATTATCCAATAATTCACTTGCTATTACTTGGCCAGACACTTCTCTCACTTCTAAATACAATTATATTTAGTTACATGATAGTTGTCAATGTTCTCAATGTGTTCACCCTAACAGTGGATAAAAATTGTTTTCCACCGCAAATATTCCACTTGATATCAAACCATTATCAATTAATTTCATGGAAGATTCAGTTGAAGTTGCTTGGGATAAACCATTGTTACAATCATTAAATACAAAAAGGGTCACAAAAATCAGATTCTTTGTTCATGTCATCAATTAAACTTCATAAAAGTATCTATTCATTAAACTTTTTAAAAACTTTTAGCATAGTGCCATCTTCTTCTTTGCTCTCAATTGATTCCACAACCAGACTTACAAATGATATCACAAAAATCAATACAAGTAATCCATTTCTCCCTCGTCATAACAGATTTGTAAACCATATTTTGTGGGACAAATCATTATTTTCTGAAAAGATTACTTCAATTGACTATTCAAATTACATGTCTTCCAATAAAAATTTACTCGAAACTCTAGAACATTTATGGAGGTATGGATTGGTATTTATAAACAATGTGCCAATTGCTCTTCATGAGAATGAAGGAGAAAAACAACTAGCAATAGAGAATGTGGTGAAACGAATTGGTACAATAAAAAATACATTTTATGGAAGAACTTGGGATGTTGTTTCATTACCTGGTGCTAAAAATATTGCTTATTAAAATTTGGAATTAGGTTTACATATGGACTTATTGTATGAAATAATAATAAATAATCTTTTTTTATTTCTTATATTGTTAATTATATTTATTTTTTTTTTAAGATATTATGAATCACCACCAGGTATACAACTTTTACACTGTTTAAAAAATTCAGCAGAAGGTGGGCCAAGTATATTTTCAGTTTCATTTATGGCTATAGAAGTATTAAAGAACAAGTATCTTAGAGATTATCAAATACTTGTAGAAGTACCAATTACTTTCCAATATGTAAATGATGGACATCACATGTGTTTCAATCATCCTTTGATAGTTAATGATAACTATAATAATCAAACTTCACATGTAAATTATTCACCACCATTTCAAGGTCCAAATGAATATTTATTGATACTATCAGATGAGGAGATAAACAGATTTTATCAAGCATATCAAAGATTTTGTTCAATAATTGAAGATCCTGACATGAAATTTGAAATAAGACTGAACCCTGGTGATTTGGCAATGTTCATGAATAGATGTGTACTGCATGGAAGAACAAGTTTTGACTTGAGAAATGGAGAGAGGCATTTGAAAGGAAGTTATATTGATTTATGTGAATTTAAAGAACATTATTATCAAAATATCAAGATATAAAACATTGAAGGTCAATATATATACAGTATATAACATACATGATGGTGAAAGTCATTTGATAAAATTCGAAACTTTCAAAAAAATCACACAAGTTTTCAAAATCAAAATACCCTTGGCAAAATTAAAATCAAAATCTAATTCAAAATCAAAATTCAAAATTGAAATCAAAATTCAAAATTGAAATCTAAATTCAAAATCAAAATCAAAATTCAAAAAATTGAAATAAAAGCACTTTATGTTCATTTTAAAAAGCCCAAATACATGGAAATTATTTTTTTACAACAATTACATATTATCATAGTCCGTTAAAAATTGACCAACTAATTTTTCAACATTATATTCTGTTGATTCATTTCTGCTTACTTCCTGGTTTTCATTTATATTATCATTGTTTTGGTCTATATTAAAAATAGGATCACTAAGATCAATTATTTATTCAATTTTTAAAGTAGTAACATTGTCATCCAATTCAATGTTTAAATCATCATCATCCAAATCGGTATTTTCATATTCATCATAATCAGTTAAAAAATCATTTTCATCTTCAAAACCTTCACCCAAGTTCATTGATGATAAAATACATTTAGATGTGACTTCTTTTTCTGATAAATCTTTTCCGTAATAATTGAATTCTTTTTTTTGCATTGGTGATCTTGTTGTTGATTAAGACTAGCTTGTTTTTTTTTGTCTTTTTCTATTTGTGTTGGATGAATTAAACGAATTTACAGAATTAGAATCATTTGATGAACCCTGTTCTAGATGATGTCTATTCAATACGATTTCCAGATAAATTTTCTTGGCTTCAACAGGCACATTTGCACAATTATTAGCTAAATGTTCTTCCATTAATTGAGGACTTCCACGTGAACTTCTGTCATTACAATATTTACAACTTGCATCATATTTTCCAGGAAATCTTTCATTTCCTTTATCAAAATAATGCTATACACTATTTGGTGGCCTTCCACTCTTTTTGGAATCTGGTAAATAAAGATTTCGGGTTCTAGGATTATTATTATTATTATTTAAAGACATTAATGCAAAAATGAAAAAAAGTTATTTATTAATTTCGAATTTCGAATTTTGATTACAAATTTCGATTTTGATTTTGAATTTCGATTTTGATTTCGAGTTTTGATTTTTTCGAAACCTGTTAGGGTATATTCGAAATGATTGAACCCTAATCGTCGAAATTATTGTCGAAACAAAACTATTTCGCCATCATGTATGATCCTGATGCACTAATAGTATAATATTCAGAATTTGTCTTCATCTAATTTAGGTCTTTACTAATTGCTTTATTAGCATATTCAACTACCCACAATTTATAAAGATAAAATGTATTCAAATACTGCTCTTGCCTGTACGCCTAACAAAGGTAACTAAACGATGTCTTTAATGTACTCTCTTTCAAATATCGTAGTACTTTCAAGCTTTCGATAAAAATTTTTAAAGCTGAATTAATTTGTTATTGGTGCGCACTTGCAATTATATTATTATATAATGAATAGACTTCTTTCCTGAAAGGTATTGCATTGAAAAAAATTCTGATGAAAAAATCGATGATTATTGTCATGTGATTTAAGTGTAACAATAATGATAAAATTGACGTCTTTTTCTGATAAACAAATATTCAATAGATCCAAAAATTAAATAATATTAACTCGAAATTACCAAAATCCAATTTTTCTGCTAATTTAAAAAATAATATGGAAATAACTTCTGTTAACAGTAATTACATTGATTCAGAAAGATCAAAAAAACGAAAGAGAAGTAATTTTGATAATGTTGGGAAGATTGAAGAAATGAATATTCAAGTAGTAGTTAGGTGCAGGTGAGTTATAC